GCATTAGACCCCGTCACCCAGCGCCATGTTCCGGCTCCTTGCCCCCTCAGGCCTGAGAGAGCAGCTCACGTCCCTCCTGGCTTACAGCGGGACCCCCTTGGCTTATGGGGAGAGAAGCCCAGGAGTGGGACTGTCAGGCCTGCCCCTGACACAGCCTATCACCCCCGACACTCCCCCCAGCCCAGGGGCAGGAATTGCCCAGTTGTGCCAGGACCCGTTGTCCTTAGGTCCCCGCTGCGGGTGCAGAGCCAAGAGGGGCCGGCAGCTGGGAACCAGGTCTGTTTACGCTGCTGGCCGGAACCGGGGAAGGCTGCTGAGAGCCGGAGGCAGCTGCCTGGGCGAGAGCAGAGACACCTGGTGTGGGAGGGCCAGCTCCCCCAGGGACGTGCTCCAGGCCCTGCAGCCACCCCCAGCGCTCACATGGGGCCTGCAGGAGGATGGCTCCTCGCACCAAGCAAAGGGCCAGACCCCTAGGCCATGGCCCCCACTCAGCCCCACACTGCAGGGGCCACGTGTGCATCTCCGCTCCCCTCTGCGGAGCCTGGCCAGCAATACCCCAGAGCCCCCCACTGCGAGACCTGGGCCATGGCTCAGGGCCCAGCCACATTCTCGTGCACAGCTGGTGGCAGCCCTCCTCCCCAGAGCTAGCTGCACTTCAACAGCATTCATCACACTCCAAGCAGCTGCCAGCTGCTCCCACGCGGCAGTCCGGCCTCGCTGGGCACCCAACCATCAGCAGGACAGTGGAACTAGAGCAGGCAGTGGGTGAGGACTGGTGGCAGCAGGGGTAGCCACGGGGTGAGGCAAACAGCAAAGCAACCGGCCCGCCACCACTCCATTGCGTGGGAGCACTCAGCCTCCCTGGGCAGCCTGCAGGGAAGAGACCATACAAAGCAGGGCTGGGGGGCAATGGCACACACACTGGGGGCCTGTGGGCACTAGCTCATGGCAGGCTAGCCAGTGCCACAGGGCTACAGCAAGGCTCAGCGCTCTGCACCAGCAGCTGGGGCAGGGCCGGAGCATCAGCCCCGGGTTCCAGCCGGGGAGGGACTTGCCCAGGGTCCCCCAGCCAGCTGTGGTTGGAAGAGGAACGCCCCACAGGAAGGGACGGGGTGACTGCCTCTCCTTTCCCTGCCCCCCCCCCCACTGCCAGATCAGGGCTTACTGGGCAGGAGGTAGAGACACTGGCAGGTGCCTGGCTCCGTTGCTCTTCCCCAGCCAGCGAGGGCAGCGCCATAGGACGGGGCACCCGGGACCGGGGCGCCAGACACACTGCGTGCTACAAGGGCCACGTGGGGACCATGGCTCTCGCCCGCTGAGTGCCGGAAGGTGCTGGGGAGCGCAGGCACTCGGCCCCCGAGCCAGCACCCAGCTGGCTGTGCGCACGTCATGCCAAGGGCTGCCCTGGCGCCAAGAGCCACCCACCCTGCAGCAGTTCTCAGCACCGCTGACTGATCGCCACGCCGCGCCGCCGGGCCTCAGCAGGCCGTTAACTCAAGGGCCTGTCTGCCCGTGACGGACGGCACTTTCACACGCACACAAATAATCATAAATCGCCACCAGGCAGCGCAGTGGGTGAACGTGCAAGAGCACACAGGGACAGGCATGGGGATCCCACAGACTGCCAGGCCCCATAGCCCTGCCCCCAGGGCCCCTGGGCTCTCTCTACCCCTCTTGGAAAGTGGGCATGGCAGGGGACTGGCTGGCTCTGGAAGGCGGGACAGGACTCAGGGCCTTTCCCCTCTAGGGGGCACCGCCTCCGATCGGGCCCCAGTGCAGGAGACCGGCTGTTCGGAACCTGGGGCCATTCCCCTGCAGACAAATGGCTAGCCCAGTGTTCTGGCTTTGGCACAGAACATGGGACCCCACGGCCCAATGCCCTGCTCCTGCGGCTGGCGGCAGGTTGCCTCTCTGATGCCTGCCATTCCATGCCCCCCCGGCCACCACCCTTCATGGGAGCGATCATGCTGTCCGCCCAGCACAGGCCCTGCCACCCCACAGAGACGGCGCACGCTGTGGGGGCAGGAAGGGACCGGCTCCAAACATCTCCCCCAGCCCTGGGACCGGACCGTCACCTCAGTGCTGAGGCAGAAGGGGTGCCACCTCCTCCCTTCCCCCCTCACATCTATAAGCGGTGCTGCATCCCCACAGCCCCACCCTCCACAGCCACCCAAGGTGCCACGTCCCCCTGCCCCAGCCCCCCCATGCCCGGACCCAACCCCCCCCACTCCAGCAGGGCGCTGTGCCCCCCTGCCCGGCCCAGCTCCCCCACCTCCCAGCATGGCGCCACGTGCCCACGCCCGGCCCCCCACCATAGCACCGCATGCCCGCGCCCAGCTCGGCCCCCCGCCTCCCAGCACGGCGGCGCAGCCCAGGGGGTCCCTACCATCCTTGCGGTAGAAGCAGATCTCCACCTTGCGCTCCTCGGAGCCCAGCAAGGCCTGCGCGATCTGGGTGGCGGCGCTGCGCTGGGTGCGGGGCCCATACAGGAAGTCACAGGTGCAGGGCTTCTGCATGACCTCGGCCCGCGTGTACCCGCACAGCTCGCAGAAGCCATCGTTGCAGTAGATCACGGCGCAATTCTCCACCCGGGCGTTGGCGATGATGAACTTTCGGCCTGTGGGAGAGAGGCAATGAGAGGACGGGCGGCTGGCAGCACGGCTACCCATGGGGCTGCCCCCCCC